TAAAGAAGTAACAGGTGCTCTGCTCATCTTTTTGGAATATGAAGCGAGAGGGAGATTCGGTTTTGAAAAGGAATTTGAAACGATTGGTTAATTTTCAGAGGAGATGAATGGATAAGATTTTGCAAAAAGGCGCATGAATTTGAAACGTTACCCTATCGTCACGCCGCCTGACACGCTTTTTTGGGGAAAGACAGTTGTCAAATCGCACCTTTTTCGGCGTTGTTTCAGTACGTCACGTTATCATCATTAAGAGATATTTCTCTCTCCTGGAAATCGTATAAAGGTTTTTTAATGATACGGTTCTCACAATCACCATCAGGAGACGTTTGGCTAAAAAATTGCGTCCTGCACTTGCAATTCGGAGCAGGATCGAAGGTGTTTCGGAGACGGGTGTTCCTCCAAAACAAGGGGGAGAAGCAAATCAAGCTCCACCAAAACTAACTCCCACAAGCCAAACTCCAACAAGTGAAAATCCTCAAACTCCTCCTGTTAAACCAAATGTCACAAAAGAACCGAAGGATAATGAAGCTTCGGGTTCAACGGTTCAAGACAAAGGAAAGAAAATCATTGGTGTAAGTGGAGAAGAAGAAGAGAATCAAGAAGAGTTGTTAAAGCAAACTCCTGAAACCGAAGAGAGGGAAAGAAAAGATTAAGACGCCCATGACATTTTGGAACGAAGTAAATCTCTTTTTCCATTATGGACATTGGAAAACCTACTGAAGGAAGCGATTGAGTCCCCAAGTACTCATTGGCTTGAACCGGTCATTTCTTTTGACTTGGTTAATACTAAAGACTCGCAATTCGATATGCCGATCACCCGAAGGGCATTCGTTTTTCATTGTTTTGAGTCAATCGCTTCTGTTCCCTCACCTGACCCGAAGGTTGATAGAGAACTGGTTGATTATTATCATGCTTTCTCGCAACCTCAATATTTGACCTGGAGTGTAAAGAAGATTACTACGGTCAGGGTTATGAAGCCAGTTGCCGCAGGGAAATTTATCAATGTGAAGTTCCGGATTACACGTGGTTCTGAAGATTCAGTTCATGAAATTTCTCTTGCTGATTTTCCAAATCTCAACCCTCATGATTGGATTCTGTTGACTAACCTTTTGCTGACTAACGAGCAAAAGTACGAACTCATTCTTGATCACATAAAGAGAATGTTGGTTTCATAGATACATGAAGTAGCGAAGCTTGATCAGGAGATTGCTTCTGCTCAGAGGAAGAAGCCTACTTTCAAACCCATTGGCAAAGCTAGTGATGTGAATAAGATGCGTATGGGAAAGATTGACACTGAACACTTGACGGTGATGTTTACTAAAGATATTGGAGGTTCGGCTACTCCATTGAAGTGCATGTTCGCCTTGTCTGACAAACATCTGTTTTCCACTGTTGCTCTTGAACATATTATGGATATAATAAACATATGTAAATCCAATGATGACGCTGTAAATAAGATCTTCAATGACATGCTTCGGTGGTATATCAACTTTTGTCACACTATTCTTGCTATTATACCGAAGCTGTTCAAAACAGTAAAGAAGACCATGCAGGCTCTGCAGCAGTAATCTCTCGCCTCAATTGACGCAAAGGGGGAGATTGTTAGGTTAAGAAGTGTTGCGTCATTGGGCTTTTGGTCTAAGTCTATTGTTCTCATGGCACTAGGCATGTCCAGCCGTGTTTCATTTATTAGGGTTTACTTTATATAGTGCATGCATGCACCATAGTATGTACGCTTTTGATAGTTAATTCTCTTTTATCGTATTGTAACCCTAGCACACCTCTACAGTAGCAATTCTTCATAGAGTTCTTCTGAGGTTGTGGCTTATTAATCATTCGACATAAGTATTGATTCATCTGATGTTCTTATTTACATTGTGTTCTTGATTTATCTTACTAAGAATCTTATCGATCTAAAGGTTTTTTAATCTCATCAATTAAACTTATTTATCTAATTATTAATTCATCTTATATTATTTAATCACTTAAATTCATATAATGTCTTTTATTCGTTCTATTTATCGATGTATTTTCTTTAAAAAAAATTCTCATAGTTAGAATGATTCGTATTGATTTATAGACTCACTTCCTAATTTCTGATGAAAACTAGGATGTTACAGATACAAAGTCACCAACAAACCTCCCCATTTAAGTGTAATCTTGATTAAATTAAAAATAAAATTATAACAACAAATTGACGCATAAATGAATTGTCGTGATGATTGAATTTCACATTTGTTTATTATTCATTCCAAATATTCGAATATCAGGATGTCACTAATGATTGAATCATTTTTATTCATAGCGAATAGATAAAAATAATACAGACAACAGTTTATATTCTCATAAATTCTAACTTGACACTATATTTTACTAGCCTTGTTTCATATTCTTCAATAAGCATATAAAAGTCAAGTCTCAACTTTTTGAAGTAACTAAACTTCATGCTTATATAGGTAGTCCTTTTATTCTTGCATTCGTAAATGTAATTTTTCAAAAGAACTATTAAGAAATACAATTTCAACCTCCTTAACTCACATACCTTGGGATGATGATAATAATATGTTCCAATCTTCAAAATATCAAGTGTAACAACCCAATTTTTCAAAAGAAAATTTTCATTTTTAAATAGTCAAAACACTTTTCAATAAACCATGAAATCTCAATACAATTGTTTTCAAATTCATATTCATAACAATATTATTTCCAAACATCAGAGTGTCCCATAAAAATGTCTGAGAGAGTGCACGCCGCGCCATCAATCCGTGCCCTTGCCCCTTGGCTCAGATGTACCTGAAACAAATCCACAAACTGTAAACTAATGCTTAGTGAGTCCCCTAGAGCATACCCCACACACAATCCACATAACACATATCATATTAGCTATAGAAGCTACATATATCACATAAGCCATGCATACTAACATATAAGGATGTCGTTGGCTCCTCCCAAGGTCTTACTCCAGGATGCCATGGGCTCCCCCACATGGTCTTACACCTAAGTGTCATGGGCTCCCCCCATGGTCTTTAGCTGGAAAGCCATTGGCTCCCCCACATGGTCTTACATCCAAGTGCCATGGGCTCCTCCCATGGTCTTTACTTGAAAAGCCATGGGCTCCCCCTCATAGTCTTACATCCAAGTGCCATGGGCTCCTCACATGGTCTTCCCTATAAATATCACACATATAGCTAGCATAACACTAAGCATAACTAACTATCATACCACATATCTCTACCACAACAAGTGTTCCACATATCATAAAATAGGCCGGCCTTGGTGCCTTAGACCCATTGGTATGTGAGGAGACTCACCTCTCGAATGCTGAACTGACAAGCTAAGATCAAATATCCCTTCTGCTGCTCCAACTCAACTGCCTATAATCATCATGTAATTAACTTGTCACGATCCCGGGACACCATAAATACCCTCAAATTCAACCCTGGTCAAAGTCAAGGTCAACAGTCCATGCTGACCTCAACTCGTCGAGTGCATCTAGAAACTCGTCGAGTTACCCAAGTAACTCTTTAACTCACCGAGTCACCTATATAACTCGTCGAGTTCCTCAATGTCCAGAAGACCGAAAACCCATGCAGACCGAAAACTCTAATCTTTCACCGAAATCACCTCGACTCTCAAAAACGGGTAAACCCTACCCGACTCGTCGAGTCAGCTAAGGGACTCGACGAGTTCCTTCATTCCCTTTCATGTTCAGCCCTTTTCAGTGGGATCTAAGGTCCCAAAATTCAGATCCAACCTCCCCTAGTGCAGATACCACGTAAAGTTGCAAACTTTACGTGCATGCAAGGCCCTCCAAGGCTATAACATCAAAACTAAGCTTCCTACAAGGTCTTAGTGCATGGAAAGGGGCTAAACTACATAAAGTGAGCAACTTTATGTCACTGGGGACCTAGAGAGGTCCAGATCTGGAACCATATCCTTGTGATAAGTTCATATATGAGTTTGACTCCCTTTTGCACCCACAATTGCCATTTACTTCCAAGAAAAGGGATCTAAGCAACTAGAGATCAAAGTAACGACTTTATACCTCAAGATGATGGCCAATAGAGAGTAGATGACGGATCTACTGCTTCTCTCCTTGCTCCTTCTTCTTCAAGCTCTAAAATCCTTCACAAATACCCCAAAATTGCTCACAAAAGCTCTTTCTCTCACTCAAGAAGGTGCAAGGTCGAACTAGGGTTTTCTCTGGCTAATATAGTGATAAGGGAGGCCACAAGAGGCGGATTATGTTCTTTAAATAGGGTGCAAACCCTAAAATTAGGGTTTCTCTTTACAGCTCCTACTCGTCGAGTCGGGGCCTTCCGACTCGTCGAGTAGAACCCAAATCCCGCGTCCCTATAATAGTCTCTACCCGACGAGTTGGAGCTCCCCAGCTCGCCGAGTCCATGCACAAAACCCTAAAAATTACATAAATTAAATAATACCTGGAACAGGTGTTACATCAAGCTTTCCATATTAAATTCAACATCTAATATTACATTATATGGGAATTGGATATCTCAATGTTAGACTTTAAACTCATCTTTAAATTTAACATCTAATATTACATTAGATGAGAATTGGGTATCTCTAGGTAACTTGGTTAAATGATTGGTTAAGTTCAACTCAATTCTAACAAACTCCACAGAGGCATATTTTTTCCGTGTAATTTCATCTTTGAGTTTATGAAAAAAAAAAAAAAAAAGAACAAAAAGTTATTCCAAATTAGCCTCTTCTTTTCTTACTTAAAGAGCTACATAGATTGTGTCCCGGAGATGAGATGAAGTACAAGATGTAGTTGGTAGGGCTAGAAGCAGGGTTTGGTTTATTTATCTATCTATTTTGTCTCCTCTATCTGGATTGATCCGGGATCTCCTAGTTAGTAGGTACATTAAATCTCCGAATTAGCCCATCTTCTCCCCTAAAAATAGAGATTTGTTTAGATTGAAAAAGAATTGATTTCTCGTTTCCTTATTATTTATACTATCCAATTCTACCAAACACTAGAGTATTAAGTTGTCTACCTTTTATTATCAACCCATCTCCTTTCTCTCACAAACGACCGCTTTGTTAGGCTCTTGCAAGTGCAACAATGAAAATGGCGAAGGTTTCGTCACTACTACGGTTCCCCAAGTACCGAAGCTTCGTTGTCATCCCTGTCACAATACTACAAACATCAGCCGCTGTCACCAACCACCGCCACAAAAGTAGGAGGCTTTGCTGTTCAGTTTGGGAATCCGTTTTGAATTTTCACCGGAAAAACAGTAGCAGAGTCTTCGCATCCGATTTCCCTGATTCTCTAGCAGTTACCTCTACTCTATCTACTCCCAATCATAAGCGGTACTTTTCCAAAAGCATACTAAAAACAGAGCACATACGTACAACTGGCTATGTCATTTGCTATAATTACTTGTACGCAATCTTTAGTATTTGCAAAACTTACAGTAGGATTGAGACAGGTATTTGGATATAGAATCTAAACTCAATAGTTATCGGAATCTATCTTAGGTTCAAAAAAGACGTAGTCTACCATTTAGGTAAACTAGCAAAAAGGGCATTTCCAAATTCCAATAATACGCAAAAACTTGCTGAATTTTTGAGTTGCTAAGTGGTGTTTTGTTTTGATAAACAAACCGATTTTTTCTTCAGCCATGAGGAATATGGTCGCTTGCTTCCATGCCCTGCGGAGAATGTTTTGCCAAGAAACATTGAGCACTTAGTTGTTAAAGAAGGAGGACCCATTCTTGACTTCATTACCAAAGCTTTGGATCTTCCACCCTTGTGAGTTGTTATATATGTTCCTTTTTTCCTATATACCAATAAATATAAGTTTGTTATGAACAAAAATATCATCTTTCTTGAAGATGAGTCACTTTTACTTTCACTGAATGTATTTGTCAAAACCATTTATCTCAAAGTTATGATTCAAACAACTCACAATCACCCATGCAAATGAACACCATTCTATATGAATATAAACTTGTACTCATGAAACAATTGAGAAACTGGGCTATACTAACAACAAACCTGTGTTCAAATTGCTATTATTGATATGCTTGAACTTTGAAGGTATGTTGCAGATCTTATTCATTTTGGAGCAGTGCACTATGCCCTTGTATGCCCAAAGCCTCCTTCAACCGCAACAATGGAAGAAATCAGATTGTATAAAGAATTTACCAATCCGTCCCTCCTAAGAAAGAGACCTTCACTCAAAGGGAAAACCCTAAGAGAGGCACAAAATACTTTCAGGATTACTCGTATTGATGAGTTTGTTGAAGCCGGGACTTATGTAAGGGTGCATGTACGTCCAAAAAGATTTCCAAGGTACTTCATATAGGAAATTACAATTATACCCTATATGAGTTAGTAACTTACTTTATTTTAGTGTTATGTTTATTTATTTTGGACTCTATTTGGAACAAAGATTATATGTGAGAACAATACATTGTTACTTATTGAAAATTCTGATAATATTGAGTTGTTAATTCTTGGGCAGATGCTATGAAATTGAGTGGAAGTCAAGAATAATTGCTGTGACAGAGTCGTATGTGGTTCTTAACAAGCCAGCTGGCACATCAGTATGTTAATCATTTATCCTTCTTCATCTTATCTCTCATGGAATATACAATCATTTTTTTTGTTTTTTTGCTTCTTGCTGATTAAAACATATTTGTTAACTTCTAGTCTTCTACCTAGATACCCTAAATTTGAGGAAAAATGAAATTGTCCCATTTACTTTCTGCGAGGATAAAAATGGGATTTTGTTACTCACTTCCTTTCTTGTTAGGTGGGTGGAACTACAGACAACATTGAAGAAACATGTGCAAATTTTGCTACTCGTGCCTTGAAATTAACTACTCCATTAAAGACAACTCATCAAATTGATAATTGCACGGATGGCTGGTATTTTATTATTTGAAGTTTAAATCAGATCATTGGATATTTCTTTAAAAAATGGGTGGACTGAAATAAAATTTAGTGGCTAAACTGTAAAAAGGGACAAAATATAGTGGCTTTTATGTAAATTACCCAATAAAAATTCAATTAATCTCATTTTTTTTGCAGTGTTGTGCTAGCTAGAACTAAGGACTACTGTTCAGTTTTCCATAGAATGATCAGGGTAAGTTTAGTTTCTCTCTTAACTATTTTTTTTTTTTTTCCTGTAGTGATTAAAACATTATATATATTTTCCATGTTACCTAGTTTTGAAAAAAAAAACATAATTCCCCATTTTACCCATTTAGCCCCTGAACCACATTTTGCTTTTTCTGTATTATGCCCCTGAGAAATGGTTCTTTTAAACGTGAGTAAAAGTATAATGGTCTAATCATTACAGAAAAACTAGGTTGATAAAATTGTGAAAATACAAGTGTTTTTCTGTATTTTGACCTATTTTTAATCTGTTTTTATGATTGTAAGTGATGGGGTGTCTTCTCCACCAGGAGAAAAAAGTGAAGAAACTTTATCTTGCACTTGCTGCTGCTTATGTGCCACCTGGCATCATGACCCATTACATGCGACCATTTCGAAAGGCTCCAAAAATTATTTCCAAAGGTAAAAATAACAACATACTTCAATTTATTCGTGTATTATAGCATTTTTTTTATTTCTTTTACAACATTGTATTTGAAATATATGTCCGGTTATAGCAACATCATTCAAATACAAAACAATTTTCAGTTTCATAATTGGATAGATTTTTCAACGGTTACTAATTAGAAAAAATAAAATAAAAATGAAAGCACAATGCTATAATATAATGAGGTAGATTTTTCAAAGTAGAATATTTTAATAAGAAAACAATTGAAAGTAAGATTGTATAACAAATAAACAAATAAATGAAAGTACGTTGCTATTTTTTGCATTTACAAATTCTTTCAACATGCAGACTTCATTCCCGGATGGAATCTGTGCCAATTGGAGGTCCTGGAATGCAGGAAAGTTCCATGGCCAAATGCTTCCATTGAAGAAGAGAATGGAATTCAGGATTTGAATTGGCCAAATAAAGAGTTTGCATATGAGTGCAAGATCAACCTTTTAACTGGTCGTACTCACCAGGTGCATCCATACATACATAATCTATTATAATTTCTCAGGGACCTGTTTTGCCTTTTTCTGATACTTACTTATTATCTGTTTAATTGAATTACATTTAGTGAAATCCATCAAAACATTCACATGTATTATGTTACAGATTCGAGCTCAACTAGCAGCATGTGGTGCACCAATAGTGGGGGACTCGTTGTACATGCCAGCTGTAGTCTCAGAGCTAGTGGGTCCCGGGAAGTCAAAAAAACAATTTGAAAGTGAATCCGCCATTGAAGAGTGGGCTGCAAAACACGGGAAGGAACCTGGTGTGAGTATTGGCCTTCAAGCTTCTCAAATTTCATGGGATGAAGATGAAGGACAACAACACTTGTATCAGGCGGGACCTCCATGGTGGACTCAATAATGTGAGGTTCATGTTCATCAATTTATTTTTTTTATTTTTTTTGGGGGGTTAAATGTGAGAAATATAGCAATGTACTTTGATTTAGTTGTGTATCATAGCATCTTACTTCCTTTTTTTTTTCTTTTTGTTATGGGAAAATCTACCCAATTATAGCATTTTACTTTTAATTTTTAATCTTATTATGAAATGATGTTTTTAATCTTCATTCCAAAACCAAAACACAACACGTAGATTAAATAATGTATATTTACGCAACAATGTTCTGTTTTCTTACTATAATTATGCTACAATGTTTCATTTCCTACCACTCTATACAACGATATTTCATTTTTGTTTTCCAATTTATGCGACCAACATAAATTATGAATTATGATGCAATCATGCTTCAACACATTAAACGTGTTACATTCAAGTATTGCGTCTTCTATTGAATATTGTATTTATTTATTTCCAACACTAACAAGGTAGGTTCAAAAATCAAATTCATAAGCTAAATTGTATAGGTATTTAAGACAGCTTGCCTCAACATAAGATGAAAAAAACAGCTCTTAATTGATGTTACCTATTCGATTAACTTGTTTAAATTTCGGAAATATTCGCTTGCAAAAATAACATTTTATAGTGATTAACCTTTTTGGTATTATCCTTGCACAAAACTTATACAACCATCTTATTTTTTAATATTCACAAATATAGTAAAACATTATGCAACCAGAAACAATTGGCAATTGTCATTTTGGGCATACGTTTTCCCTTTTACATTTACTTCTTGCTTCTTGAAAGTAGATAATAACTATACTCACGATTACAAATTCTAAGATCAGTTATAAAAACAGTTATGAAAGAATTAGTCGTTGACTAAGGGGTCAGGGCCGGTCCTAACTTATTTGGGGCCCGGGGCATAAAAAAACAAATGACCCCTCAATATACCAAAACCTCATATGACCTTTACATTTGAGTTAAATTTAATATAGTATTAGTTGTGAGACTCATGTATTACATGAGTTAATTTAAAAAAAAAAAATTAAATAATGAATTATTATAACAGAAATGTTTTTTATCTTTTAAATTTAAACAGATAATTTAAATAAATAAAAGAAACTAATGAGCTTTAATTTTGAGAATTTTGAAATTAAAAGGTAAATTTATTAATGAAATTGATATCTATTTATTACTATATTTATTACAATTATTACATTAAAATATTATGTGAAATTTAATAAAATAGAAAAACTCATAAAATGACATTTGAAAAAAAATTAATTCAAAATAACCACAAAATGACATTTGGCAAATTGAATGAGAGTATGACAAGTAGCAAAAAAAAATCTTCATTTATTAGAGAGGATCTTTGTTAATATACGAGCAAGGTATGTGTGTTTTTTACTATAATTTTTTTTAAGAAATTTTTTTGTGTTTAAAATCATTAGTAAATTTAATTTGAATATTGTATATTAGTTTTGCTATGTTATTATTAAGATGCAAAGTTTTTAAAATTTTCCAGACACTAAAAAACTATTATTTTCTTTATAAGAAATGGATTCATATATAAACAAATTTCAAACAAATATAACTTAATTATTGCAAAAAAATTGATAATGCTTTGATTTGAACCTTTATCAATTTTATAAACACAAAATCTTTATAAACACAAAATCTTTAACTAGTTGACAACACTACTAATTGATATTTATTGTTCTTTTAATATATTTATATAAAATAGTAGTTTTGGTATTTGTTGCTTTTTAAATATAATACACATACAAAACTATACTTATATATAAAACGATTAATGATGTTTTTTTAATAGCGTAAAAAGCAAGTGTTCTAGAAACGTACATAATATTTAATTAACCTTTTATATATGTTTAGATAAATATAAAATAAAGTTAAATATGGGAAAAAGTTTTCACTTGACACGGATAGAATATATTAATGCTTTTTTGTACGGCCGAGTAACTTATGTATTGGTTTTTAAACATGCATAATTATCAGCAAAAATAAATTTCGTAAAAAGAATGCAAACGTCACTATAGGGATCGAACACGGGTTTCTTTCAAAAAAGTGTTGGACGCTTTACCAAGTAGGCTACTATTAAATTGTTTTCTATTTTCAGCACAAACATATATAGATAAACACTAACATATTTAAAATTGGGCCCCAAAAAATAAAGGGGCGCTAAGCCGTTGCCCAGCTTGGCGCTTGCCTCCCTCTTGGGTCGGGCCTGTAAGGGGTACTTTCTTCTTTTCCTTCGCTAATTCATTTATAAAAAGAGTAACCTAATGAATAAATATGTATGTTTCCATAAAGTGATATATATGTATAAATTATTTGTTTAATGCATCGAATAAATATGAGTAAATGAATATTTTTGTCCTTGTTTTTAAAACAATGATAAATAACCAATTATTATTTACTATGAACATAAATACATAATTTCATTATGAAATTCCGCAAGCTTGCAAATAAATAATACAAACAAAAACAATTAAAAGGTTAAAATACTCAATTCACAACAAGACAAGTTTTTAGTTTTCTTAATCAAATTAAAATTAAAAATGACTTATATGTTGGATGAAATTAATGCCTGGAAATCCTCATTTGAGCTCCAATTCCATTCCCCTCTGTCTCGGCTGATGAAAGGCGGCCTTAGGGGAGATTTTAAGCTCAAATCAAATCAAATTTGCAGGTGAAAAGCTTGGATTAATAACCTTTAATCATTATACATCAAACATCAAAGCTGCATCTATTTGAATCTCTCATCTTCTTGAGTTAGGGGAAAAGCCAGAGTTGATTAGAGTTTAAGGAAATCGAGTACAGATGATTAATTTCAATAAATTTATGGCGCTAATACATATATTGTTGTATAAAAAGACATGTAATTAGCTCTTTAATTCCATGTATGGGTCAAACCTGTTAGATTTTTCGGGTAAGAAAACACTTGGAATCCTGAGAATCATGATCGAACACTTTCAATTTGAAGTATTTCGGGATCCAAGGGGCAAGAGTCCCTGGGGTCGAGTTGTTTTGAATAATTGATCCGGTTTTTGACTTTATCTAATCCCTTATAGAGAACCCGATTTTATGATACTTTATGATTGTTGCAAAGTGCCTTGTGGCAGTTTGGACAGTTTTAGGATAGAAAACTGTTTTTTGACAGCTTTCAGACAAAGATGGTTTATAACAAATTTTGGTCATCATTTTCTGGTACATACCATCTAACATTCTCAGTTTTTGTCTCTCAAATTTATGAGTCTTATCCGATTGATGATTTTGGGAGTACCATCGTAATACTTCAGTTTGAAAGTGTTTGTCACGATTCTCAGAATTTCAAGTGCTTTCTTACCCCAAAAATCTAACAAAATATATATATATTTTTTTTAACAGAAGAATTTACTATAAAACTAACTAGAAGCTAAAAAAAACTTACAAAGGAATGGCCATCACATAATAGGGTTTTGCATCCAAACAACCTACCAAACTTAAATTTATGGAAACAAAAAACAAACCAATCATAAAAGACATAGTTACAATGTTATAAAAATGAGCATTACGATAACTCCAAATATGAATACTCCACCACAGGGTAAGTTAACACAAGGATTCTAGTTTTCTGTTAACAATTTCACACAATTTAAACAGAAACATGAAATAAATACCAATCGATCCAAGAACTATCTTCAAAAGCATAGAATGAGGCCCAATAGAAAGTAAGGCGACTTTCCTCATCTGGAACTGGAATAATGTTTTATTTTCTTACCAATTTATGCAACGATATCAATTTTTTATCATCTTATATAATAATGTTCTACTTTTTTACTAATTTATGCAACTAACATGAATTATACAACTATATATGCTTCAACAAGGCAAACGTGGTATGGTAAAATGATGTGTTTTTAATCCTAAGACTAATGTCATCAAATATTTTCCTGTAAAGAACCATGTTGTATAAATTGAACAAAAAAAAAAAAAAAAGCTCTAAACATTGTTGCATAATTTAGTCCTTAATATATTAATTATTTTAAAAAACTAAAAAAAGACAACAAATATGGGCATCAATTCAACCCAACCTCTCTCGAGTCTCGACTAGTCATAAACATTAATTGTTCAAAATCCCCACCACTTTCAATCAGAAAAAATAAAATAAAATAAACTCTTCATCACCATTGATTCAGATTCATTATCAACAATTAAAATCCACCACAAGAATAAGATCGCATAAGAAAAAACCCTCAAAAAATCTTAATAAATCGAAGACCAATTGTTCCAACACTAACAAGATAGATTCAAATGCATATAATCAAAGCTAAAATGCATCAACAATGAATGAAGGTGTTTAACTCAGTTTGCCTCAACATAAGATGAAAAAAAAAAAAAAAAAAACACCTCTTAATTGATGTTACCTATTCCATTAACTAATTAATTGCTTTAAATTTCGGAAAAATTGCTTAAAGAAAGATCCACAGCCACTGCTTGAGTTGCATCAATATTGTTGTTCACTTCGCCTGCAAAAACAAGGTTTTATGGAATAATTAATTAACCTTTCTACTATCAACTTATTATAACATAAATAGATAATAACTTATTAATTAGAGATAACAACTTATTATAACTTATAAAAAAATACGATGAGAAACTTAAGAAACATCATTTCTCTTACTTTCTATATTATGTCTTTCTGTAATAAATAAAAATGAAACACTGGAATTTCATACCTGTTTGTTCTTTACTTTCTTCCTGCAGCCCATCCTTCCCCAACAATGGTTGATTTTCCATAATTGCCCCTACAGGAGTTATAAGCTCGTCTGGTTCCTTTACATGCAGCTCGCCCTCATCCTTCTTTTCCATATCTTGATTCCCATGTTGCTCAGATTCCATTCCAGAGACGTCTCCCGGAATCATGGATTCCTTTTCCGGAAAACTCTCAGTCTCAGCCGTTGGATCACATCCCACGTCCTCGTTTTCACAATCTTTCGGAACATCTTCCGATGCTTTAGAAACCTCAAAAACCTGCATAACATCATCTTGCTCAACCAATCTCAGATTTTCCGGTTGAGGGGTATTTTGGTAATTTTGCACCGTCCCTCCAGCTTGCT